TTGAATATTCTTCTACACTTATTTCTATTATTGTTATATTTAATTGTTAGGAGACTTACTAGTTTGTTATTCGTTACAATCTACCGCTAAATTAAATATTAAATGCGTAATTGCTTGATCCCTTTTAACTTGTGAAACACTAAGATTTGACGATTTTTTGTGATAGAGGTTATTGAATTTTAAGAAGAATGTTTAAATAGATTGAATGCAACCACTGGTGTTTGTCTTATCTAGTTCATCGATTTCTCTATTGTGTAAAACTAGTAGGTCTCTATGGTGTTTGATCAACGAACGAAAATGAATATTCAACACACGTTGATTTGTATTCTTCAAATACCTGATGAAGACGTTTTGGCTTTCAAAATAATCAATGAAGCATTGAATCCGTGATTCCGTATGAACTTACATGAAGACGACAAAACACTGCACAGCTAGGTCATCAACTCGAAGAGTATTTTTCAAAGCTTAATTCTAACCTTGTTTAATTACTTTACTTATAGGTCAAGTAATTATTAAATATTGGAATTAATTCTTACGAGTAGACATTAAGTATGGTAAGAAGAATTGTATATTGCAAAATATGCTCAAAGATATTCTTGATATGTTAGATTGAATTAAGGAAAGACAATATTAAATTAATCTATCCTTAAATTTACTTAATTAACTAATCTGAAAATATTTAGGATTGCAAGTAACCTATTATATACTAGATGCAATATGTTAACAAGAAAAATGTTTCTTGTTTAAATATAAAAAACCCTAAAACATCGCAATTAACATATTCTATTGAATATACTTAGCATCCGATTAGTTAGTACTAATCTGTAGCTTTTTCACGTCTTTAATAGCTCATTTGACATTTAAAAATCAACACACATGTTAAGTAAGCCAATAATAAATTTTGTAAAAATATGTAATATATTTTTCCAACATTTTCTTTAAATTCGGTGATGTACTTCAAATCTTTTTTGTATCTTTCTTCCATGTGTAAATAATTTCACAGTTGGGACGAACGATATAATCTGATTGTAAACCTTTATCTTCAATTCGTAAAATTCTTGATTTTAATTCTTTCATATATTTATTTTACTTTTATACTTAAATGCTTTGAAGTAATTGGCCATTATTTCATTGAATTGAGAATTTGAAATAAATCGAGAGATGAGTTATAGATTTAGACACGTAATAAATTTTGATAATTGAATAAAATGTAGTTACACTTTTATAGTTTTATTATTGTTACAATCTTGAATTGAATTCATAGGTGATTTAATGGTTTTAGTTGATGTTTATTCTGATTCATGTAGAGATATAGTAGATGTTTCGGATATATAGGATTAATTTGAACTCCAAAAGGTAAATTGATTAAATTAGTTAATTCGACAGAAATTTTAAGAATGTAGTTAGTTGCAAATTAAATGTAATATTATGGACTGTGAAACACGAGTCCTAATACTTTTCCTTCCTAAATTAAAGAGAAAATTACAGTAAACCCTACATTTTAAATTTCAATTTTGGAAATCAGGTGTTTCAAATTAAAAAATTGGATACTATTATTTTTCTTTCAATAATCAGGTAATAGTTATTATTTAACAAAACTCTACAGTATTTTTAGGATGTTTGGTGGGGGATTAAAATTAGATTTTTAGTAGATTGTGATAAAAAAAAATTTGAAATGTGTAGTTGAAAAGTTGTGGGACCTATGAAAGAAATGATTAATATTGATTGTTTGACTTTGATTTGGATTAAAATCAGATTTTAATCCGAAACAAACATGAGCAAATTATATTTTCCCTCTGTCCATAGACTGCTACTAACAACTCCTATAAACTCGAATGTTGATGCCTCCACCATCTCCGACAATCGACAAATCTAGGCCCGCTATTATGTCTTCGTTCTCCACCTATCGTGCTCAAAGCAAGTCTGTCTGTCCTGACCCGAGTATTTTGGTATAATGGGAGATGGTGACCGTGGGTTTGGATTTGATGTGGATGTGGTAGTAGTGGTGGTGGTGATAGCGACGACTTGGGTGGTGTCGACGGTGTACCTGTAACAGATCAATTATGTGGCGATAATGTTGTAGATGGTCTTATTGGTTGTGGAGGTGGTGGTCAGAGAGGTTTGGATTTGTAGGGGTAGTGGTAGTTGCGACGACTGGGATAGTATTGACGGTGTACTTTTAACATATTAGATTCGTGACGACGGTGTTGTGGGTAGCTTTTTTTTCTTTTTTTTAAGAGGAGGTGGTGGTGGTGGTGGTTGTATATGTAAACTGGTGGCAACAATTTTGGTGGAACCGACAGTTGTGGAGTGTGGTGGGTTTAGGTGATGTGGGATAGTGTGAATAGTGTCTATGATTAGTTAATTTGGTGATTTTTGATTAATAAATAATTTGATTATAAAATGTGTAATTTACGACTAAATACGTATTTTTGACAGGCTAGTAGGATAATTCGTAACTAATAAATAAGTTGTGATCTATTAAATGTGTAATTTACGACTAAATACGTATTTTTGACAGGCTAGTAGGATAATTCGTAACTAATAAATAATTTGTGATCTATTAAATGTGTAATTCTTGACTAAAATAAATGATTGTGACCCATAAATTGTATATTTGTGATTGACCTTGTGTTACTTGTGGTTAGTATGTGAAATTGATAATAAATTATGTATAGTTGTGACATTGTCGTGTTTAATTAAATTATAGATCACAATACTTTAACACAAGTCACAAATGTGATCACTTAAATTATTGTTCAAAATAAATGATTGTGACCCATAAATTGTATATTTGTGATTGTGACCTTGTGTT